CCCATTTTCTGAAAAGTTTTGTAATACCTTAAGGTAGAAACCACAAATAATACATTTATTTAAAATTTTACAATCAGAAATTACATCACCTATCCACAAACTTTGTAAGCAGTAATGCAAATTTAAAGACAACACAACAACCCCCTTCCCAAAAACAACTTGAGGTTCCAGTCTCTTAGTCTATTGCATTATCTTTTTAGAACTTTAATAAATATATTTACAATCTTAAGTCCCTAGAGAAAAATCAACTGTGTGTGTGACAAACTTATCACAAGGAAAAACATTTTTTAGAAAAACAAATTTTGCATTATTTTAATGACTTCTTAAGTGTACTTAAAATTCCTTATTACTACTTTTATTACTACTTCAAGCAGTTAAAAAAGTATTAATACCATGAATTTAAATTTATGTTTTTGTTATGTTTATACTATTCTCATTATTTGTTCTCATTCCTTTCAGGAGTTACCTTTCTCAGGTGTACCCTAGGTTTATCCTAAGTTTCTAGGGTACAGAAATATTAATTACTTTGAGGGTAGGCTACCAAATTTAAAAAAATAAACAGGAAACGTCAATGCAAGGTAGCCAAAGTTATAGATTCTAGATTGTCCGCATACTGGTCCAGGTTGTACCTTTCAAATTTCAGCTGCTGATTTCCAGCTATACTTCCTTTTCATACTTATTTTTGCAGTCAAGACATTAACGTGAAACTTAGGAAGGTATTTTTGGATAGAGTGGAGTCTGTAAGAGTTGGAAGCAACCTAGATGCCTGTCAGTAAATAAATGGATCAAAAAATTATGGTACATATACACAATGGAATTCTGTTCAGCAGAAAGAAAAAAGGAGCTCCTACCCTTTGCAACAGCATGGATGGAACTGGGAAGCATTATGCTGGGTGAAATAAGCCAGGTGTTGAAAGATATATACCATGTGATCTCACCTTTAACAGGAAGCTAAACAACAAAACAAACAAGCAAGCAAAATAAAAAGAAAGACACTGAAATAGAGGACAGGGGGTCAGTGACCAGAGGGGAGAGAGGAGGGAATTTCAGGGGGAAAAGGGGAAGGATTTACAGGAACTAGTATAAAAAACATATGGACAACAACTAAGGGGGATGGTGGGCTGGGATGGGAGTAAAAGACAAAACTGTATTTGAAAAATAATTAAGTAAATAAAATTTAATAAAAAGAACAGCAGTAAAATAAACCATGCAATATTAGAACTAGAGAACACCTTAAAAAGTCTTTGCTTCTTCATTTTCTACACTAGGAAAATGAAAAGGAAAAAGAAACAGAAACTGTTGGCAAGGAGACCATTAAATTGGCCTTTGCAATAGTTTATGAGTCAAGATTCTATAGCCCTGAGCCAGGACAATGGCAATACCAAGGAAGACAAATGTGAGAGCCAGAGTAAACAAAATTAAACACTTGCTAGTGACTGATTAAATGTAGGAGAATAATATAAAGTTAGGTAGAAGTGCTAGTTTCTATAATCCACAACACACTACAGGGTGTTCATTTTATGACAAAGTGTAGTTTATTTCCAACAGAGCTTGACTTTCTCTCAAGGCAATACAATTAGTAGAACCACCGCCCTTGAACAATGCTATCTGATATCTCCCACAGGACTCCTGATCAAGTTTGTTTTTCTTTATATTTTTCAATATCTGCAGATGTTTTAAAAACAATGCTACTCCAAGTATGATCTGTAGACCAGAACCAGTCTATCAACAGTTGTCAGTCCACTACGAGATAAATACAAAAATTCCAAATTTGCATTTAGAAAATTTAATAGTTTGCTGTGACATCCAAGTGGATGATCACAGGGTAACTTAAAAAATATTGTCCCGAAAGAACTGAAAAATAATCCTAGTCCTTCACTAAGGACAGTTGAGAAGCTCCATTTTCAAAAACAAGAACAGTTCGTATATATACCCAGCCATTATTAATATAACAAGGACAGTTTGCATGACATCAGTGTAACCTGGCAGCCAAAGAAAGTGGGCTGGAATGCATGTGTGTGAACAACAACGACCTCATTGTACCAGTCAGTGGGGGCGGTAGACACAATTGATGGAGCATGTGTACTGTGTGGCCATTGCATTCAAAATGACTAATTGAGTAGAGCAATGAATCTGCATCAAATTTTGTGTTAAGCTTGAACATTCCTCTGAAGAAACTATTCAGATGATTTAGAAGTCCATAGCTATGGAGAACTGGTGATTGGCAGCTTCATCATGACAACACACCTGCTCACACATCATGTCTCACGCAGTTTTTTGGTGAAACATCAAATCACCCAGGTGACTCATCCCCTCTTCCAGTAACCGAACTCAAAGACATGGAGATTGCCAATTTACCAAATAAAGAATTCAAAATACAATCACTATTTTACAGACACTAAGTAAACTACAAGAAAACATAAAAATACAATTCAACAAAATCAGGAAAACAATACACAAAGTAAGAAGTTAAACAAAAAGACAGAAATCATAAAAAAGAACCAGACAAAAATCCTGTAGTTGAAGAATGCAATAAAAAAAACAGAGAGCATCAACAGACTTGATCAAGTAGAAGAATCAGTGAGACTGAAGATAGGATCTTCAAAACTACAAATTGTGAGAAAACTTGTTTACATCCTTTACCCTCCCCCCAACCCCTTCTTCTATTAGCCTGAATTAGTTACTAGATTAGGTGTCAATCTAAGGACAAAAACCTGAGCTTCAGAGGATTAGCAAGGGGATTATTAACTGTACAGGAGTCACCCACGGCCAGGAAAACCACAGGCATAGCTGCTATAGTGGAAAGGCAGGGATGCTCACACAAAGTCCATCCGTGACTCGTTTAACATTCGGGTACTGTACTGGATTGGATAGTGCCACACACCCCTTCCAAATTTACTTCCTTTCTGGTACCCGAGAAATCAATCTTAGTTAGTAATAGGGTCCTGCAGATATAGTTAGTTAAGATAAGGTTATAATGTATCTTAACTAACCTATACATGATAAGATTGGCCCTTAATCCAACATGACTAATGTCTTTATAAGAAGAGAAGAGACGCAAAGCCTGATGCATGAAGAAGATGGCCGTTGGAGACAGGGGCAAAGTTGGATGCCTCTACAGTCCAATCCAGCCACCGCAGAAGCTAGGATGAGGCAAGGAAGGATGCTTTTCTAGAGCCTTCGGAGAGAGCATGTCCTGCCTTGATGTCAGACGTCTAGCCTCCAGAACTGTGAGAATATACATTTCTGTTGTTTTAAGCCACCTAGTTTGTGGTACCTTTTTTTTTTTTAACAACAGCAATAGGAAACTAATACAATTTCTGAGGGCAAGATCCAGGGAACTGGGAGATGGGGCATTGGAGTGGTCCCTGAGTTGTGTGATTGGGAAGAGGAGGCAATGTGAACTCTCAAACAGAAAACAACATTGTCATTTTCCTGGAGATGTCATAGGATGGTCCATGTTGGTTTTTTTTTTTTTTTATAAACTGATAGATCTTTTAAACAATGATATAAAAGGGTGGCTGCAAAGAAAGGAAAACGTCCTTTTATTCTTTGAGCACAAGCCAAGGCTTTCTGTCTTAAATATAATGCTGTTGCAGTTTGGTAAAATCAAGGATGGGCTTCAAACCCTCATCGGTAGAGGGTGTTATGCAAATTAAGTGCATATATTATAAATATGGTATTCCCAAACTAACTTTCTTCTACACATCATATAGTGACTTAGAGTTTAATTAAAAGCTTAACATTGCATTTAAAACACATCGCTAAGAATGTTGCTGAATACAACTCTGAGTACCTGACAGGACTGAACTCACCATTTTACCCAACAGCTGTTTTACATCCAATATTTCTGTCAGTTGATGACCTCACTCAAATCAAAAACTTTGAAGTAATTATTAACTCTACCTTATCTCTCCCCTTTCTAGAATCTGGTTAAGAAATTTCACCAATGTAAGTTGTAAATTATGTCTTTCACTTTCCCTATTCGTCACTACGGAGCTTCTGTAAATCAGACAGCACTCTTTCTGGTTGCTCAACTTCTGCTCAGCCTCTTTGGTCAGCCTGTCCGCCTCCTTTTCCTAAACAGTAAGTGCTCAGGCCTTCAGGCCTGCTTTTCCTCCCCAAGCTCCCGCACTCTCAGCTTCTCTCATCCTCTGCCATGGCTTCAGTCACACAGAGAGATTCCCATGCTTGCGTCTCCAGCTTGGACCTCTCCAAGAGGGTCCTGACTTGGATGCCGAGCAGCCTACTCAGCATTTCTTCCTTGTTGTTCCACCAACACCTTGAACCTGAATACCCCAGGGTGAATTTGTCATTTTCCCTCAAGTCTTTTACTCTCCACATTTTTTTTTACCCAGTTGCTTCAACAAAACCAGAAATTCATCTTTTCCTCCCTCTCCAAGTCCTTTCGATTCTACCTTTTGATTACCAGTTACTTATTTTGATGATAAAATTATTCCAGCTCTAACCATTGGGAGATCCTTTAAGCTGCCACCTGTGCCCTTTTAACAAGTCCTCTTCGTGTTGAAGCATTTCTCTATCTTCTAGCACAGAAGGCTAATCTTTACTTTATTAGCCAGCCCTGGAATTAGCCCCTTCCCCTAAGGAGTTGTGGCAAAATCATGGTTCCTTTTTTGGGGGGACTGGGATTCATAAACCAAGACTTGGATGCCACATATACTACTGGCTTGTTGTCATTGCTTGACTTACAAGAATTTGTTATTATCTTCACAATTTACCAGCTAGAATTTTATTCCATTGCAAGTCTGGTTCTAAAAGAAAGTGGATTTTTATTTCCCAGAATCTCCATTTTGAGTCCGAAAGGCCCATGTGCCTTAGACAGACAGAAACTCATCACACTGAAACAACTTCGGGTTTCCACTCGAGAATCTTCGCGGGGAGCCCTTGGTCACAGACATGCAATATAGACCTGTGTCCTCCAGAGTGCGCTGTGCTGCGCACAGACCAGCCTCAGCTCTTTTTCAACCTGGAGTGTCTGCTACACTTTGCAAGGACACCGAAGAAGGGGCACGTCAGCGCTCCGACTTCCTCCCGACGCCGCCTCTGATTGGCTGCTGGGCATGTAAGAAACCAGTGAATGAGCAGCTGGCCTTTGCAGAAACTTGCAGGAGGTCTTCAGGTGGCATCGTCCTTTCGTCCTCGTCAACCTTCGGACTAGCCGGCCCGGGGGAAGATGAGGTCGTCCTGTATCGTGCTCACCGCTGCGGTGGCGCTGGCCGCCTATTACGTCTACATCCCCCTGCCCAGCTCCGTGTCGGATCCTTGGAAGCTGATGCTGCTGGACGCGACTTTCAGGGGCGCACAGCAAGTGGTGAGACGCAGCCCGGCGCTGATTCTCTGTACTCCCCTCTTAGGCAGGATTTGAACGGGGAACCAAAATTTCCAGACCGTGTTCCACGAGAATGCATATTTTTCTAACGCAGTGAGGCCATTGCTTCTTAAGGTGGTTCAGTCTGTCATTTTCAGGGTGTCGCATTCTCCTCCTTGCAAGCAGCGGTCTAGGTCTGTATCTGCATTGGCGACGGAGAGGGTGAAGTATTTGAATAGAATCTGATAACTGTTTAACCTGTAATCTAACCTAAATAGCTTCCCTCACCCCGTTTTGGTTTGCAAAACAATCTTTCATCATTTTATAAGCCACCTCTTCCCCATTTTCTTTCTCCGATAGGGGCCCGCAGAGAGCGAGTTAAATATTTTTAGGACAGCTCTGGAATAACAGGCTCTCATTTCGGGCTATGAAACCACCTTGAAAGCAGCAGCGGGCACAGGCGCTGTCCCCACACACCCTGACTGTGGAGCTCTCCATTCCCAGAGGCCCAGCGGTCAGAGCTCCTCCGAGTCCTTGAGGAACCGCTCACATCTCCCACTCATGTTTGGCATTTATCAGTGTAGCCTAAGACGCTGGGCCAGGAGGCCTGGCTGGCTGGAGGAGAGGCAGGAGATGCAGCAGCCCTGTTTGCATGATCCATTTGTTTTCTGCCTGCCCTGCATTTATTTGATGTCCTTGGCTATTGAGGACGTAACCTTTGCCTGAGCCAGGAAACCCTGGCTTACCCTGGCAGGGTAAAATTTCTCTCTACTGTATCATGGGTGTGTTATTTCCTTTCCCCCATAAACAAGAAAATATTACTGTCTCCGCTTTCTTCTATGGTAAGAGGCCTTATTTTTAGTGCCATAGATTCTAAAATCTGAACTACAATCTGCAGCCAAGGCTGAGCCCTGTGATTAAACAGTATTTCTGCAGAGCTTGCTCTGTCTAAACTCCTAACCTTCCTCCAAAGTCAAGTTTTCACCTTCTCCTAACCATAGGCTTTAATCACAGGTTATTTTTGTAAATTCCTTTTTTTTCAAGAATGACTAGAGAAACAGAGGGGAAAAATCATGACTTTTTCTAGAGGGTTGATATTCTTTGTCCCTCTCCATCCTCACTGTGTGAGATTCCATGGTCTCTGAAGCTTTGTGCTATCAACAAGCCGCTCCACTAGGGTACTGTCACCTGTTCCGAGTAGGGGTTTGCTTTTCTTGAATCAGGTACCTTCTCCACCACCCCAGTGCCCTGTTGTTCATAGACACGTCCTATGAAGCTGTAGATCCTCTTCCTCCCCTCCCCCTCACCATGATGTTCACATGGCAAAAGAATGTCCACCCCCTTCTCTAGCACTGATTTCAGGAAAGGCAGTGTTCATGTAGGAAGCCCTTCATTCCCTCTTTTCCTTCAGAAATGATGTAATTTGGGAGTAACATCCTTCAAGAATTCTGGGATGCAATGGTATTTACCTGGAGTGGGTTAAATGGCCTTTAGTAAATAGTAGATAAGGAAAGTTCGTGACTAATAAGGAGAATAAGAAAAACAGGGGGAAATAAAAGAATAAAACTTCTCTGTTGGCAGCCAAGATTATTTTTAGTTTTCAGGTTACCAAGGAAGTCTTTTACAGCATAAGTGATCTGGGAAAAGCCAGGTTGGAAGGAAAGCCCTTTTTCCCCAACTAGACTGCCAACCCATCAAAGGCGAGGTCCTACAGTCTTTTATGGAATGAGCCCCAAGCTGGTGTCTGGGACTGATAAAGTATGTGATGCCAGGTCACAGCAATAGATGAGGTAGCAAAGTATCGTTGCCTAGCACCGTAGCTTGGGAGTGGCTTCGTATAGAAGTGGCTTTCATCACTTGTCATTGGAGTTTCGAAATATCAGACAAATCATTCAAACCACATGGAAGCCTATTCTGCCCAGTAAAGCAATTTACCAATGTTTCTTCAAATTGTCCTGGAAAGAAGACAGTATGGCTTGACACACTGTAAGTAAATGAGAGCGTGACTGTTGGAGTCCTGTCTTCCTGAATTGCATCCTGGCCAGGCCACGTACTGACTGTGAGGCCAGGAACCTACTATCCTACTCTGATGCTCAGTCTTCCCTGTAAAATAGGGTGACTTTGTAAGGTCATTGTGAGGTTTAGTAATGTATTTAAATGCCTGGACCTTGTTATTGGTATTCTTTTAAGAGTTGTCCCATAGGTCTGCTACAGATTGTGGGGAAAGCAGATCTGTGGGATTGCCCAATGTTGTTAAAACAATAAAACAAATATAATCCGGAAGCAATTAAAACCTGGACAGCTACCAGTAAATATCATGGCATAAAATTTGTTACCCAAATAATTTTAGAGTTGATTGGTTCAATTACAAAGGCAACTGAAGTTTCTTCAGAAGTAAAGGTGGGCCTACTTCCTAATGTAGCAGACTTGTGCCTAGCATCAAGAAATATGAATACTAGTTTTATTCTGTTGTCATTGGCAAATGTTTTACCATGATAACAGTTCTTATCTCCTTTATCTTGTGCAGAAGAGTTATACTTATTACACTTTTCTTCCTTGGAGTCCTCCAATATTACCTAAGAAGCTACTTGGTATCTTTCTCCAAATCATCTCAAACACAGCTGCTACATTATAATCATTTAAGGAGCTTTAAAAAAATCCTGGTGCTGCCCTGGCTGCTGTGGCTCAGTAGGTTGAGTACCAGCCTGCAAACCAAAGGGTCACCAGTTGGATTCCCAGACAGGGCACATGCCTGGGTTGCAGGCCAGCTCCCCAGTGAGGGGCATTCAAGAGGCAACCACACATTGATGTTTTTTCCCTCTCTTTCTCCCTCCCTTTCCCTCTCTCTAAAAAGTAAATAAATAAAATATTTTTTAAAAGTCCTGATGCCCAAGTCACATCCTATACTAACTTTATTTAGAATTTGTGGGAGTTGAGTCCCAGGCACCAGCGTTTTTAGAGTCTCCTCAGGTGATTTCAATGTACAGAAAAATTTGAGAACCGCTGTGCTTTAAGACAAATAAAATGCATTGCAGATATAGATCATATATTTCCTTAAACTGCTCAAGTTATATTGCTCATACGTACCTGGGAATGAGCCTCTTCATGTTAGCATGGATTAGTTCATCATATTAGTTGATTGATACTTTGGCTCTAAGAGTTGAAGGGAATAAAATACTAGTTAAGAAAATTCCAGTTGTATGGCAGAGCCATCATAAGACTTGAGCAGTGGAAAAGCACAAACCAATGACAATCTGGGAAGGTAGTGGAGAAAGAGTTTTAGATAACGACTGGGCAGGGGAAAACCAGAGGGACAAAAGAGGAGTTTGGGAGGTTCTGATACTGATTTGAAACTGCTATATATGCACAAAGTTTAGAAAATGGTAACCCCAATACTGGTGAGGAAACTGAGAAGTATCTATGGCTGAGTTTGCCAATATCCATTGAAAACCATGGAAGCATATTTTTTACTTTGACCTAGCAATCTTTTTGGAAGAATTTATTTTAAGTAATTAAGGATATAGGCAAAACTAGCTATAAAGAGGGAAATTTTACAGGATCAAAAACCTTGTTCAACTAGTCCAGAAGAACTGCTGTTCGTGAGAAATATGGGGGACGACTCAGCAAACTTTTTTAAATCTTTTATTCCCTATTTTTGTAGCATTATTTAAAGGAATGAAAACTTAACAGCAATGAGAGATTAAGTAAGTTGTGGTAAACCTACATTTTGGAATACTGTGTAGTCAAAAACAAACAAAAATAAAACCAGCTTTGAAATGATATTCAGTGGCCTACAAAGGATTTGTTCTGCACAGTGAGAAAATGCTACAGAACAGCACATATACCCATGATCCCATTTAAAATACCTTTTAAAGCATAGAGTTATGTATATTACATAAGGGTATAGAAAAAGAAGAAGTATGTAATTTAAAATGTAGGGATTTGGGGGGTACATAAAGGCATATCTTCAATTTTCAAATTTGTATATCCTAGTTTTTCTACAATGCACATGTATAATAAATTTTAAAGCTCTTCTTGCAATAATTTTTTAGTAGGTTTCCTACTAAACGTGGATCTAACGTGGAATCGATGTTAATTCCAATATGCCTATGCATATCAGTGTGATTAATTTCTCAGTAATTGTTCTATGGGAAAAGTCAGATTTGTTTTTTAAGGCATCCTGGGTCCCCTGACACAGTGGTCACAGTGGCATGCTTTGTGCTCAGTCACTTAGTTGTAACACAGGTTGAAAGCCTATTGTGTGAGATTTTAGGGACATGCTCAAATGACCCGAAAGAAAACTACAGTTTAGTAGACTGGAAAGCCATGTTAATGTACGGCTCTTAAGAGGGTAGGCACTGGCTACTGGGTGTTGGAGAAGAGGTATAGTTACAGAAATGCATAAGAGAGAAAAGTTATATACAGTCTAGAAAGGTGGTAAGATGGTGAATGAAGTTATCAGTGGCATGTGAAGGGAGTCCAGAGCAAGAGCTTGGCTTGCCCTACCTTGATGGTCTGGCTTACTAATTCTGATACTATGTATCTTTATCTTTTTGATGATACATTGTAAAAGAGAGGTTGCTGAAATCAGTATTTCTACTGAATGTTCCCCCTATTTCTTATGGATGACAGTGCTTTGGGACAAGTTGAGCAAGTTTTTTTTTAATCCTGTAAAATGCCCCCAAACTTGCTGAAATCTAAAGTGATCTCACCTAAATTTTCTGTGCATTTGTGGGTATGGTTTAAATGTCCGCTTAGGGGACACCATGCAGCCCTCCAATTTGCTCACTTTTCCATAATCATTCACACATGAACTGGGTGTTTACTAATGTCGGGTAGATTTACCTTGAAAACATTAGTAAATAACAAGTTTTTCTGCCTCCTTCTACACTTGCCATGCTGACGTATTTCCTCATGTAAGAGATTTCACCAACCACATTTTTAGCTGATTTGATGGGAGTTTGTCTTTAAATACTTGGCTGCAGAAGGGCCTATAGACTAGC